TCCTCTGACCTGCACCAGGGTAAACCTCCGCCTGCCCCACTCCTGCTTTACAGGTGAAAATAGAGCAACAGGACCGCTAGTCTTTGACTTTATTTATTTTCTGTTGTGTTTTACTTGCATCTATTTGAAAGACTGAGTGTAAACACAAAAGAATATTTTATTTTATGTGCTGGAATGTGCAGAAAATAGGTTTAAATGTTAAACTAATTTCTTCCAATCTGAGAATTTTGTATATAATTTAATGTTTGCTTGATGCATAAAGTTAAAAGATTAAGACTTTTCCATTTGATTACATTTTGTATGATGGATTATGCAGAAAAAGTAGAATTGGGCTGAAAGATCTATCGCTTTATCACCTATTCAGGTTGTAAGTCTTGTTTTTAAAAAGTAACTAAGTAACTAATTACTTTTGAAAATAAGTAATCAGTAAAGTAACGGGTTTACTTTTGGGGGAAGTAATCAGTAATTAGTTACTGATTACTTTTTTCAAGTAACTTGACCAACACTGGAGATTAATGACAAATACTTTGAGAAACTACTTTGACTAACAAAAACAATCTCCCAACAGGTCTCAGAGGTTTTTACGCCAGCCCCCCACTGTCCACTAATCTAGTCTGATTAGCCCTGCATCAAGTTTCCAAACCAAACAGAATAATTTCTACTTTATTAAATCTACTTCATTCTACTTCTATATTAATTCTTCAGTCTAGTTTTTTTTCTTAAGATAGTTGTTCTACAACTTACTCAAGGTAAGGAAATCTTTAGTCTCAGATGACTGCTAGTGTTTGCCTAACAGTACAGATGCAAAATGACTGAAACTAGTAGCACTGCAACAATAAGCCACAAAATCATCTTCATGATTGTTAATTCACTCGGATAAAGTATTTCTCCTACTGAAAACACTGCATCCAGATAAATCTTTACGAGATTAAAGATTTCTCTTTTTCTTTTAAATGACACAGTTTAGGTCAACAGGAGCTATAAGCAGAAAGGAGTATAGGACCCGTATCCCTTAAATGATTTTGCTTTTAATGTCAGCCAGAGTCCTTGAGTGGTCTCGTCGCATCAGTGAGGGTTCATAATTCAGGGTAGTCAAGTGGTTGACGTAGACTTCCAATAGTTCCCAGCATTGGGCAGTTGAATGGTTATTCACACATTCCAAAGCAACAAATTTAATTGATCTACAATACTTTGTATACTACATTAGGCAGCATTGCAGCTAAAAGGGTTAGTTCCATATGCCTCCTCCATATATGTATACTATGATTTTGGTCCACCCTTTGCAGATTATGTTCAAACATGGTGTTCATTATGGACAAATTGTGATTTGCAATAACAAAACACCACTGTGTTTCAGATGAGGAAGGCTGTGCATGCTAGTCACACTCCTCCAGGTTTTACTATCATTGCTTATATCAGGGTTAAAGTCTCCCAGTAGGACAACAGAGTAATGAGGTGTAGCAGCTTGAGCACCCGTTTCAGGGACTCCAAGAAGGCTAAACTGTTGCTTGGACTTTTATGCCAAACAACAGTCAGTACCTGCTCCCTGACCCAAATGACCTGGAACAAATCCTGTCCTCATTAAGCGGCGGAAGCCTAAATGCACTGGCAGCAATCCGAGGGGATACAACAACCCCTAGTCTCTTTGAGTGTTTATGTACAGAAGTGCTATATAAAAACCAGTCCATTTACCATTTTTTAAAAAAAATTCTGTCCTGTCTGGCAGGTTTTGCAATTAGCATTATGATCTGAATCCAAAAATGTGCCAAACACATTTTGCTTTTCTAAGACGAGCTCTCTAAATTCTCTATAGGCTCCTCTTCTTCATGTGTTTCTTTCATCTGTTTATTTATCATTTTCTATTAGTGTTATTTTATTTATTAGATTATATGTAATATAGTATATAGTATATTATGACCTTGTCTAAGTTGACAGGCAGCAGAAGAAAAAAAATGGAAGGGGGCGAAAACAGGAAAAACATAATAAAAGTATAGAGTGCAAATAGAAATGTGATGCCAAATGCTGCACCTGTAAGAGAAGAAAAAACAAACAAAAAAACCCCAAACCCCATACAGCATCTAGAAGACAAAAATATAAAAATGCATAGTTAAATTAATCAACAGTTTTCTTGCGGTGCACACACGCATGTCTGGCGTTATTGAGGGTGGGTTGGGGGTGGTTCCTCTCCCTGCTCCTCCCAACTGGTCGTTGATTATTCCCCACCCCTCTTTCTTTCTGTCCCTTTTCTTCTTCAGTTCCTCCGCCTTCTCCTCTTGCCTTTCGGCAACCTGGCCTTCACCCACTGTCCACTCTGGCATAATACCCACACAGATAATAACACAATTTATAAAAACAAAACGATTAACCCCAGAGTCTACAGCGCTCGTCCTGGAAAAAGCAAATGTGTTTGGCACAACAAAGCATTCAGGCCATGATTCTGTCGCTAAACCTGCCTGACAGTACAGGTTAAAAACAAACAAGCAATTATATAGAGATTGACATATTTTAATGCAGAACTTTTGCACTTCATTAAAAGTTTATTTTCACAGAATGTAGTATGACTACTTTTATCTAAGTATAGGATTCGGGATAGATACTTCTTCCACAACTGCAAAAAGTTTCATTCTAATTATATTAATATTTAATATTATAAATCATAATAATTTTACTAATAACCACAAATCTAACCACCTAGTAGAATTAGTTTTTAATATTTTTCTTGCTTTTATTATGAACACAATTATAAACTATGTATATAAATATATCAACTAATAAATATATAAACTTATCAAACTAAAATAATTTAAAAAAAGACAATTGTACAAGTATTTTGTACAAATATTTTAGCAGTGCAAACAGACAGATGCATAGCTTTTTCCCTTTGGTCTGCAAGTCCAGGGCAAGACACCAGATTTAAGGATCTACAACATGGTACATGGTAAAACTCGTTCTTACGTAGTGGACTGACATGACCGCAAAGTATGAAAACTTAGCCCACATAGCAAACAGCAGCTACAAGGATGGTGTGTAGTTTGACCCTTTAGGTTGCTACACAAAATCATAGTAAAAACCTTAACTGTTTTATCGGCCACTAATTCAGATCAGAAAATGAGCTACTTACTACTGTTGTGTTGTGTTGTAAAAAGACAGCACACCTTATTTGTTCCCATTTTGGAAAATGTATTTAATTAAGAATGATAGAATAAAAACTATTTTTCCTTTTCTTAGAAACTCATCATGATTTTTTTTATCTTAAAAGGTGTGTGATAATGTAAACAGGAGTTCAGAGACTTCAGAACTTCTCTTTGAGTACTCTAGTTTTAATGATTTCTTTAGCAGTAATGTAATTTCCACTGCTACTACTTTTCCTTTGGCTCCGCCCTCCAATTAGTCAGTTGGTTGGAGCAATTAGGATTCAGCTTCGAGCACAGAGCTAACCATAAGACCGTGAAGCGCACGCAAACGCAGTCTTGCATACCTGATTGCTTATTTCAACGCATGACTTCTGAGTTGTATGTGGGCATTATTGAATTTACATGAATTTAATTGCGCGAGTAGCAATTAGTACTTGTGCAATTACATAATTTTTTTCTCCCGCATGACTTTTGACATACATATAACACCATAGAAACTACTTAATGCAATTATATTGATTATATACTGATATTGATTATAGTAACTTGTGAGAAGCTCAGATTAAATTAAGTAACTGAGCTGCAGCTTAGTAACAACCACATTAACAGATAATGACACACTCTGAACTGAAAACAGCTACCATCCACATCCTGTGAGATACTCAGGATGTAGGATAAATATTAATATTGTGCATATCCAAACCTTTAAGGACTGTTTAGCTATATCCTGATTTGCTGCACAACTCTCACCTTGCTGCAACTTTGTAGTCAATCGAAATCCTCTCACCCTGCTTCATCTCAAATGCACAGCAGCAGTGGCCAAATGAGCACCGTGTTGTGAGTTAGTGAAGGAGGACACAACAACAGGAGGATTAGTGCAGTCTGACCTCCTGCTGCTCGCCCTACAAGAAGCTGATACGATTCCTTCTATCCGACATAATCAGTCAGATGTCCTTTTCGATCCTGCAGCCCTCCCAGGACGCTCTCCTCTGAGTGATGCTCAGAGCACTGCAGCCAAAGCACATCCTTTATTAAGGATTAATCCTCCTGCTCTACAGATTATTACCAGTTTAGCACTGCTCAGTCTTAGGGATACAACAACAAGCTGATTGCCAAACAAGAGCAATATGTTTATCTTCAACATGGCAGATGACAAATGTACTCTGTGAAAAATAACTAAAAATGTTTACACTGCATTTGACAGCGTGTCTTTGATTGGATTTCTGGAGCTGGGTATTTCACGGTCAGAAAGATTTTCAAGATTTGTTGTCAAAACAAGACAAAAAAAAGGTTTGGGGTTTGTGACGAGGAGAAAACAAAGCATGCAAACAAAAAACTACGACTATCCTTAAAGAACATTCAGTTTGCTTCATATTGAGCATTTCATATGTCTCCATAAATAAAGAAAAATGGCATCTCTGAAGGTTATCCAAAGTGAATCAACAGAGAGCTGCAGTAACAGATGAAAGGCTTCATTCAGCATGAACAGAAGGTATTATTTGTGAAGTGTGTGTATTTGCTCACCAAAACACAAATAAAAACACACAATACGATGCATGATCAAGATTGAGCCCATGTTTGAAGAGATTAGGTTTCCCAGAAAAATGTGAAAATCTTCTGGTTGATGTTGATCATCAGAAGATATATGTGACGTGTAGTTGGGTTAGAAGGCGGGCAGTGGAGATGGGGATTATGCATATGTGTTTTTAATAGATACTAGGAATATATTCTTAACACCTTTTAGAAAAAGAAAACGTGACAAAAATCATGAAATTATTGGAGGAGGATTTGGATTAGACAATAAGTCGGATGCTAAATGTGCTAGCATTTTTCAGTATTTTCAGTAAACAAAAATGCACTTTTGACATAAAACTGGTACAGGAAAAGGCAAAATGAACTTTTCAATCATTTCAAATGATATTCCAATGTCACGTATCTTCCTGATGTTAATCTTGTACCATACGTACAAGAATAAGTGCATGATATTATTACCCACGATGGATGACCCTCCTATGGATAACAAGTTGTCTGGATCATTCTCACGTGGAGCACAATTTGTGTGGGAAGTGGTCTTCTATTGCACATCACCATGTTCATGGTAAATGCACAACAGGCTGCAGAAAAAAGCCTTTGTTTTAACCATATTGTTCACAACTCTCACTTAGCTTTGGACTAAACCACCTGTGTAAATGTGTTAAAAGAATCTCACTACATAAAGTGTAAATTTTAAATAGATGGGGGATTATAAAATTGTACTATGTATCCTGCATGCATAAACTGTTTTCCATTATATGCAGATTTACCGGCAGTACCTACCGCCAGTAGACGAGAACACAGATGAGAGCAATCAGGCCGAGGACGGTGAGGGTGGAGATGACAGCCAAAGGAACCACAGCCTTCCTCTCTTGTTCCCTGATTGAACCAACTCTCGACTCGTGGCTGCTGTTACTAGCATCTGTAGAGAAATAACACCAAAAGAGTTGGCAGCTAAAAAAACGCTGCTGGAGAGCAGAAATAAAAGTCAAAACCCACCTACTTTTTAGATGAAGGCTCAAGAAGTATAATAAAATTGGTCAACAGAGCCACAAACACTATATGCCAGTGGCATACAAACCCAGTCAGGGTCATATTTTAAACGTGTCAGTTTAAACTGGATATAGTTAACTTTTAATTACAAAAAAGTCATTATAGTCATGGTATTTTTATACATTTAAATTGTAAGTATTAGGTGAAACAAAAGGTAGAATATTGCTATTTCAAACATGTTTTTCACTATTTAACCAGCTTTTCCTTTGTTTTTGTTTTTTTGTGACAGTCAGCAAATGCATTTAAATTTTTGCTTATTTTGCCTGAAATGTAACCACAGGGTCAAAGTTAATCTAGAATCAATGGAAATAATGCTAAAGAAAGTATAAGAATATTGGTCCCATGTAGAATCCAAAATGTAGTCTCTAAAGCCACCATATTTCTGACCTCCTATCCATAAAATATATATAAAAGATGGTCGTACACTGATTAGTGAATTTATAGTAAATTTATGTTGTGAAACCTTAAATAGAGCATTGTTGCTCTTGCCGGTGGTGGCAGTGTCCGGCAGCCTCGCCTCTGTCAGTGCGCCCCAGGGCAGCTGTGGCTACAATGTAGCTTGCCATCACCAGTGTGTGAATGTGTGTGTGAATGGGTGGATGACTGGTTGTGTAAAGCGCTTTGGGGTCCTTAGGGACTAGTAAAGCGCTATACAAATACAGGCCATTTTTGCCTTGGGTTTTTTGTAAACCTGTTAAAATTTAAGTCTATAACCTGCCTTCAGACTTTACTGCATTTTCAGCAAATCTGTATATCTTTACACAGATTATTGTATTTATAGAATACACTGATAAAGCATAGGACCACAAATGTAACACTATCGACTGCCAATCCAAAAATAACGTCCTCTGCTTGCTTGCTAACTGCTCTTTCATTTTCAAAATATATTACAGCCCACAGATTTAGACATATTTAGTCAAGCAAATCATAATTTTATCAATCAGGTCTTGTCAACAAACTGTACTTACTCTCCCACTTGGTTCAATTGAACAACTTTGCCTGAAGTATATTTGAAACTTTGAGCATATAAGCATGGAACATTTAAAAGTAGAGGAAAGAAAATAGGAAAACAACCATAGATGGTCCAATGTAAAAGAAAGAATTAAAAATCAGCATCAAAAGGGTTTTCTGATGTCACATTTGCAAAACTTCAATATGAGACCTCCAAGAATAATAAAACAAGCTTTCCTTTCTCTTGTGGGGTTGTATCGACTTTTTTCATTGTACTTAAATTACTCAAGTGAATACATAAGTAATTTATTTATTTATATGTTAGAGCAGCGGTCCCCAACCATTTTTGCGCCACGGACCAGTTTACGTGTGACAATATTTTCATGGACTGGCCTTTAAGGTGCCACGGATAAATACAACAAAACAAAACCAGTACCAAAAAAAAAAGAGATTTATTTATAACACACGGGAAAAGACCCAGGAAAACCAAGTTAACGATAAAAACGATAAAGAAAATAAGGATAAAGACCAATGAAAACCCTGAAAAGCATAAATTTCCCACCCAAGCCTCAACCCTCGCGGCCCGGTACCAAACGACTCATGGACCAGTACCGGTCCGTGGCCCAGGGGACGGGGACCGCTGCATTAGAGCACGTAGCAAAATGGTAATACAGCATCGTAGGTTACACAGATTTCTTTGCACTGTGCTCTTCTGTTTCTAGGTGTTAGGTATTATTTTTGTGAGCTTTCACTAATTATTTTTAATGATATATGAAAAATACCCACAGTGCATCTTTCCTGTAAAAGTGGATAGAAATGTACGCTGTGGAAGACCTAAACAACATTTCACTCAACTGAAACATGATTCAAATGGAAATTTCACATCTGATTAATTAAACACAAGTTGTGGACCAACTTCCAAACTTGTTGCAAAATAAATTATTATCAAAAATAATTAGAACTTATAGTACTATCCCTTTGTACTTCATCATCTTGGCAGGTAACACATACAAATTTAATGGTGACCCCAAAAACGTGAAGAATAATTAATAATTTGAAGACTTACAAGAAAAAAAAGAAGCAAATGAAATGTAACTGAGCTCTTCTTGGCTTACTCAAAGTGTTTATGAAACAACGTTGGACATTCTCATACCTCTAATATCTATTTTAGAATAAAAAAACACATTTATATCTCAAAACACAATGCTCTCCCTCATTCAAAATTGACTAATGTGCTGTACAAATACAAAATTCATCACGATAAAAACACCTGCCAAACCATTTGAAACACAGGGAGGCACAAAAGCCTTTAATGAAAAGTCCATCACTGATTCCTCAAAGTACATAACCTATAATGGCTGAACCTGAGGTCACTCAGCAGCTCCCCTTACCTCAACTGGTCGCAGCAGATGGCTGCCCCTCCCTGAGCCTGGCTCTGCGGGAGGTTTCTTCCTGTTAAAAGGGAGTTTTTCCTTCTCACTGTTGCCATAGCACTTGCATTTGTCTGTTGTATTATTGTAAGATTTACCTTAAAATATAAAAGTGCCTTGAGGTGACTGTTGTTGTAATTTGGTGTTGTATAAATAAAATTGAATTGAATTTAGCCGCTAAACCATCCTTTCTGACAGCCTGTAAAAACAACAATAGTGTGAACTACACATGACTGAAAAGCTGTTTGCTAGACCTTTTCTGCACAGACTGACCCTGCACTGTCATGAATGAGTGGGTCAGACCTGTTAACCAGCTCATATCGAGTTTGTGGTGCGCTTTAAAAGTAAAACCAATTCATCCAATAATTCATCCAGCACACCTTTTTATGCCGGTTTTAAACCTTGGACTAATTACTAGAGGATGAAAAATATTAGTCAATTCAATGAGGAAATTGAAATAGAAGACTCAACTCAAAAAATTAAAAATCAAATCAAATCAAATATGTGACTTAAGGAACCAACAGTCTTAAAACCCCCTCTTAACAAATATAAATAAAAAGGTTGGAGGTTTCCCCCTAACATATATTTAGCTACCAGGCAGGCCTTATTTTTAATTTATCTGAAAGAAAAGTCAGGGCAATGTTCAATACACATCATACAACACAGATCAGTTGACCTCAAATTACCTCTAAAAAAATAAAATAAAAGGAGTGACCCACTACTTTTCTTTTCCATTTGCAAACATTTGGCCTTTGTTGTTATTAGTGCAGTAACACACCAAGACCTTCTACAACAAGACCATGTGAAAACTTTTTTTTTTTAAATCATAAAATTTTGGTATTTTCAAGGACACTTTGACGAACAAAGCTTTATGGATGAAAATCTTAAAAAAAAGAAAAATCCAACCAACAAAAAAAAAGATATTTTAAGTTTTTTAAAGAATTATTATTATTATTATGCAACTTTGAAGTAACAGGGATATTAATTATGATATTACCCACCTGCAGCAAGATTTTAATAAGATCAATGTGAATTTCATTTAAATAAACTAAAAATCAAAGCCTGTCAGGAAGGGAAAAAATCTTTCTCTGTTATTTATTACTTGATTTACTTTGTAAATACTACAACTTTAAATCACTTTTCACTCATATTTACAACCTATACATAGCACAGCTGAGACAATATAAAGATAATATAGATATGTGAACCACTTTGAAAATCAAAACAGCTCTGCTGCCCTCTGGTGCCCATGTCAAGCAACATTTGAAAAGGCATTTCAGTGTTTAGGGTTTTTGAGCATCACTAAACCTTGATGACCAAAGCTAGACCACATGTCATCTTTTTTTTTTTTTCTTTTTTTTTTAATTACAGTAATAATTTTAGTTGTTGTCAGGATATTCTTTAACTTTCTGTCTCTATCTCATGATAGTGTGGCCTCTTTAAAAGGTTTTATTCTGTCATCAAATGTAGTGCAGCGTTTAGGGCTCCTGCATTTTCGCATCTTCTTCTTTATTAGTGGCCATGAATATCTTACTGCCTCACATGTCATCAGAGAGGCTCCATTAGAATTATATTAAATAAGAAAAATACTTCACATGGAAGTGGAGCTATTTACATCCCTGATATGCAGTTTGAAAAAACAACAATATATGGCTGGATGCAATCTATTAAGATAAATATATCTGAAATTATAGTGAAGAATGTGATGAAAGGTTCATAATAGTTAAGGGGCCTGTATAGTTAAGTGAATTTTCTTTATTTTGATTTAACAGACTGAAATTATAAATGACGTTTTCTTTTTCTTCTCTTACAAATGAAGAGAAGTAGATTAGTCTTTTGGATGTTCAAAATTCTTTCTAACAAAGCATGTGTTTCCTAGTTTCCAGGGGAAAATTGCAAATGCAGTGAAGTTTTTGTCCCCCGCGCACTGGCAGCTTTTTTTTTTGTTTTGTTTTACCTGCTACTGGCTCCTCTTCTGTCAACTCCCTTTCTGTGTGCTCAGAGATACTGAAGTCAGAAGATGTCTCGTTGTCGTAGAGGCTTTCACTCTGCCCTGAGCTGCTCCCCTCCTCCCTACCTAGCGACCAATGTGAAGCAGAGGTTACTGCTTCCGTTGTCGTGTCTCCTACCTCGAAGCCCAATGCATTGCTACTCTCACTTTCAAAATAAAATGCTGAGGAGTGTTCATCCAGATCGTCTGGGTTCTGGCCAGCCTCTGAGGAGCTAGATGGGGAAGCACTGCCAATAACGTTCATCGAGTAAGGGAGCATGCTCTCCCCAGAGGTTGAAGTTTGAACCATGTCCCACTCCTGATCTATGCCCTCCTGGGAGTCGGGGAACAGGCCTGAGCCAGATGCACTGGTACTGGTGTCTATCACCTGTCCCTCTGAAGCGAGAGTGGTGGGGGAGGCTGTGGGTGAAGGAGTTAGCACAGATGATACAGAGAACCAGGATTCCATGATGGCAGATGCTGTGGCTGCAACAGAAATTGGCAGGTCACTTTGGGTGGCTTGGAGAACCTGGGAGTGTGAAGAAGATGATGAAGGCAAGATAGCACTACGGGATGACAGTGGCTGACCTAAGGACAGACCATCAGAGCCCACCACAGATAAAGAGTGTAGAAAATTGTCAAATTCAACATGAGTGGCTGAAAGGAAGCCCAAACTTGAGTAAAGCTCTAAACTTATAGAGTCCCAGGCTGAGGAGGACAATTCAACATTTAACAAATGCAACCAAGGGGAGGATGCTGATGGCTCCAAAGAGCAGTCACACAGGGCATGCACATCGCTAACTAATGGAAATCTGTCACCACTGCCCTCTTTGAGAAAAGTCTCTATTGTTTTCCCTGTGGCATATCTTGAATTGTCAAAAACAGATGAGAAAGAACTAGATAATCCCAGGGTAGGGTCAAAAAGGAAGCGGTTACTAGACAGATGAACCGAAGGTTCTAGGGTGGGGATGACAGACAGAGATGCTGCTGAGAGAGACTGATCCCAGGAAGATTCAGAGAGCTTGGTGGTGAAAACAATAGCAGACGGGTCTAGAAGTGCTTGGAGTGGAGGTGTACTGCTAAATACTGAGGGATTACTTGAAGATCCAGACAACACATCATCATTGCTATCAGTATCATCAAACCCAACACCATGAAAGACAGGGTCAGTCGCCCAACCAGACAGGGAGTGTGAGGGGTGAGGGAGGTAAGGCAGGGTAGAGGCAGATAGCGTGAAGACTGAAGCCTGGGAAACTGGGTCTTTGACAGGTGACAGGGATGTAGCAGTAAGCTGTGAGTCCAAGGGAGACAATATAGGCCAAGAGGAGGTAGGATCATGCAAGCAGGTGGAAGAGGCACAGCTGGAATCCACGGCGTCACACAAAGGAGAGGAGGTGAAGGAGGAGGAAGTTGAGGGGAACACAAATAGGCTCTCACCATTGGACAGTGGCTTTGTGGTCTGCACGAGAATGCGGCTTAATTGGACAGATGTTTTGGTAGGTGAAGAGGAAGGTTTGGAAGTTGAGCTTTCTGTCTGGATCTCTGGAATACCTCTGGGCTTAGTAGAAAGACTTCTATCAGTGGTGTTGTCTTTGTTTGTTGGGTGTGCCAAACGTGGATCAGTCTTGGTTTGGATGAAGGATGTAGAAGACGACGTTGTGCTGCTCACATTACTTATATGAGACATGACATTGGTTGCAGTGTTGCCTGATTGAGAAACATTACCTTCTTTGGTCTTTGCACTGGTAATTGTAGGAGTAGTGGTAGTTACTTTTCCAGAATAATCTTGTTGACTTAATCCTCTATTAATGTAATCAGCCTTTGAAGTGGTGACTGTGGGAGCAGTGGTACTTATACCTCCCTTTATTTTGCCTTTTCCATTTAGGGTAATGCCTCCATGAACACCATCTATTTTTATCGTGCGGTGTAAAGGAGCAGTGGTGGTATAAAGTGAGTTTTCTTTGGTTGTTTTGGTTAAATTAAACAGAGCATTGGCATTGAAGTTAGCTCTTCCCTTTGTTTCTGGTGGCAGGGTCATTTCTGGTGACCACATGGAGGTACTATGTTGTTGCATCTCTTCAGAATTGCTCAACACTTGACCAGATTGAGTGGCTCTAAGAGGAGGAAGTGGATCCTTGGTAACTTTCCTGTGACCCGACTCTACTGTTGTAGTTCTAATAGTAGGCAAAAGCAAAAAAGGTGATTCAGAAGTTGTTGTCCTCTGCAAGTTTGTTGCACTCCAATCCAGATCGTGGTCCTTAGTTTGTCCTATTTCATCCCAGGTAAGATCTAGATCATACTTGACCTGTTGGTAAAAGTATGGTTTACAGACTTTGACAAGTAACAGTAATTCTACAATTAAACAATGAGATGGGGAAAATAGGATTTTTGTTTTTACCTCATTACTATATTCATAAGAAGCTGGATCCAGTGCATTTTCTAGAAAGGGAACAGAATGCAACATTAGTTATATACAATGCAAACAAGAACTAGAATAAATCACTTAATTTCAAAATAACTCTAGCTTAAATTTTCTTCAGGATGGCTTTAAGTTTCCTTCAACTTATATTCATGTTATTTTTAATTTCCAGAATTAAAAACAATGTTCAAAGAAAGAAAATGCTGAAAAAGCAGAAATAGGTAACAAAGGTCATAACAAATTGGAAACACAGACGAAAACATCTCAGACAAGAACAGGTAAGCTCCTGGAGAATTAATCCTTTCATTTAGTTTTGTTATTCTAGGACCAATAATCAGAATGGGAATGTGTCACTCGGGATAGGAAAAAGGACAATACAAAAAACCATATGGAGAAAATGAAAAAGAGGAGGATTATTCAGACAACTACATGTGATAAAATGACAATTTATGAAAAAAACAAATGGTGACAACATATCGGGTACCTGCATGCAGGAATTATCCCCAAAAGACACAAACACATGAAGCATTTGCAACTTGTAGTTTTTCCTGTTTCATTCTTGTAAAACTAGACAAGTTACAGAAAGGAATCTGAACAAAAAGCTTTCAAGTTACTTCTTTAACTCCGATTGTCTCAAACTTTTGTTTTCAGACTGGATCCACCTCTTCCCTAAGAGGAATAAAACAAACTCATAAGGAGAGTTATCTGCTAATGCTGCACAAGCTGACTGAACTTAGAGACAGCACACAGTGGGGATTTAAGGGGGCAGGTGTGTAAATGGTGGGCTAGTGGCTCTTACCTGTTTGAAGCTAAATGACACACCACAAGGACCAGATCAGACTTGTTTGAGAAGCATGAAGTGAGGTTTTACAAGTTTAAAGAAACAGGCTTGATGGAGAAGACTCAGGGAAATGATATGTGTGTTAACTTTATCAACATTAGCACCATGGCATTTACAAATGAAATACATATCAGTATTTTTTCCTAGAACACATATCATCATCATTATAGATCATAAATAACACTTTTGCAAATTTCTGTACAGGAATTGTATTTTGAACGTACTTCATTTGGTGATCATAAAATTCCTACTATAATCATGTATGGTTTGCTCTCAGGAGCTCAGTGAATTCCAGTGTGGTAGCATGATAGGACCTGCGCAACCAGTCCAGTAATAAAGTTATGCTATACACTTTACTCGGTCTGAAATATTTTTTCAATTTTAAAAGTGACTAATTTTAAAGGTGAGTAAAACGTTGCCTTGTTAGTTATTCCTCACAGTCTTGTAAACGCCATAATCAATTCAGTTTTATTCATATAGTGCCAAATCACAGCAACAGTTGCCTCAAGGCACTTTACAAGGTAGAGACCCTACAATATAATTGAAAATAAGGTAATGCTACTTAAATATAAGTAGTAATATAATAGTAGTAATCTAATACTAACATAATAAGGTGTTTTTAAGATGTCGATTTCTATGTTTTTTTGTGACAGAACTATTTCTAGGCAGCTATGACTGCCAGAATGTTAGCATGTATCCAAAACCGAAGTTAGGAAAAATTCACTTATGTAAATCTAATGAATATTGAAGAATATTACAATAAGATACAGGATAATAGGATACTTCATCTTTTTGATTGTAAGAACACATATCGGTTTATTTATTATTAAGTTCAGCTGAAATACAAAGTCACTATAACTGCCAATCCAGTCCTCACTAAACAAAAGGCTGCAAAAACAAAAGGATTGGGAAGCAGAACAGATGCCATGTGAATGTGGATGACAGCAAAACAAAGATGGCAGCTTTGCAACACTAAAAATTACTCTTTAAACCAAGTATGTTGTTTAACTCTAAATACAGGAAGAGTATATTTTAAGAATCTAAAGAAACAGTTAAAAACACAGACAAGATGAAACATGTTTTTGTGTGTTAAATCAAATGTAGTCAGTTACATGTGTACAACCATAGGGAAGGTAAAATGGGTAGGGTGAAAAGGAGATGAGGAAAAACACAAGAAATATTTATTCAGGATTTAGGGGAGGACAGATATTTGGGATAAATTGTTTACAAAGAAAAATGTGTAAGAAACCAAAAAAGTTAATTAATTGCACCCTAATGATCATATTTCAGTAACAATTTAGTTAGTTTGAAGGGCTGAAGCAGTTTTTCCTCAGCTTCAGGTCTTTGTGTTAAGTAAGGTTAAACAAAACCCTTTTAGACGGAAAAAAAGAAATTCTCTAGCCTCAACCAAAACCAGATGTTTCCGTTACAAAAGTGACCTTGTTAGTGTGTGGTAATTTATAAGCTTTTATCTTCTAATGCAGTTTATTCCATTTATGACCATAAAACAACAGAAAAATGTAAAGAGAGAATAGCAAAAGAAAATGATGAAAATAAAAAAAAACAATAAAATGTCATAGTAAATAAAAATGTTGAATGAAATGCATCCACGTTATTAGATTAAATTTAAATTATTAATTATTAATAATATGTAAAAGTGACTGGAATATATTTAAAATATGGTTAAATGATGACTTAGTAACAGTAATGTGACCAATAACATTACTAAGTGTTAACCAATTACTTTGCACTTTGTAAAGGTTCAATACAAATTAATTTTATAATATACAGGTTTGGCTATCTTGCAGGTTTGTCACAAAGTCACAATTTGCACTAGCCTTACTATTTCACAATTAATAGATTTTGTGGTTATGCCTGGTGATGGGCACGCTTGCTCTTACCAGGGTTGTCAATGGGCATGACAACCATCAATGGGTTGCTTGAACGTCCGTACAGACCGTTGGAGCACACCGCCACAACCTGGATCATATAACTGGTGTTGGCCAAGAGGTCATCAAGTATCGCACCCTGGTGAAAGAATATCACATCAGTGCCAAGATTACCTACTTCCATTCTCTACAGTCATTTGCATGTCTTTATTTCACTCACAAGGAGTTAAACCATGGTCAAAGTACAGTGTACAAGTGAATGTTACAGCTATCCTAAAACTAGGCTCGTGCCCGGTACCAAACGACTCATGGACCGGTACCGGTGCGTGGCCCAGGGGTTGGGGACCGCTGTTGTAGACAAATTCCTATACATATTTCTTAGATATTTTGATCCATATTGACATGACAGCATCATGCTAACCCTAACCCTATCTAGCAGCTCAACGGGTGCACCTAACAAAGTGTCTAATGAGTGTAAGTAAGCATCCTTACCGCATCACCTAATGATATTAATTTTCTGTGTCCAAGACTTATTTAATTTGCTACCTTGCGATTAAACACCACAGAAGTTGTTGCAGACATTCATCATTTGGCAAAAAAGACATTTTACTTTTGGCAAGTATCTTGCACATATTGTGGAAGTGTCATAAAACTTTTATTTCAACACAAAGTTTATTGTCTAACATAAAATCCAGGGCGATACTTTTGGGTTGGCCTACAGGTGAACTTCAACATACTCCCTAGACTATGAAATAACAATATGGCTAAGAATTATTTACCATTAAAGCCACACCAAAAACATTGAGCAGCCTAGTGAACACCTTTTTGAGAAGACAGTTTTTAGTAGTAGTAAGCAGTGCACAGTTCTTAGAGGTTCGGTGATTATCATTTGTGCAACAGCTGCTTATTCAGGCTTTATAGAGGTCAATGGTTAATATAATTGGCGAAAATATCACCCCTCTGTGAATTGCTACCTTAACGTGGTGGAGGGGGTTTGTGTGTTCCAGGGATTCCAGGGGCTATGTTGTCCCCCTTGGTAGGGTCTCCCATGGCAAATTGGTCCTGGGTAAGGGACCAAACAATGAGGAATTCAAAAGACCCCCATGAGTATAAGTCACCGGTCGTAGCAGATGGCCGCCCCTCCCTGAGCCTGGTTCTGCCGGAGGTTTCTTCCTGTTAAAAGGGAGTTTTTCCTTCCCACTGTCGCCAAAGTGCATAGGGGGTCATATGATTGTTGGGTTTCTCTCTGTATGTATTATTGTAGGATCTACTGTACAATATAAAGCGCCTTGAGGCGACTGTTGTTGTGGTTTGGCGCTATATAAATAAAACTGAATTGAATCGAATAAGTCCAAGGGAACAGTTCACCCTTCCAGGGCCCCTCACTGGAGCCAGGCCCGGGGAGGGTGCCCAATGGCATCCATGGGGCACAGCCAGGCACAGTTCGAAAAAAGGGACATGGCCTCCTGCAGGCCCACTACCCACAGGAGGTGCCATAGGTGTCGGGTACAATGTGCTTTGGGTGGCGGCCAGGAGCAGAGGCCCTGTCGGACCAAACCCTGACTACCAAAACTAGTGATTGGGACATGGAATGTCACCTCTCTGGTGTCTGGGTTAGTGCATGAGGTTGAGAGGTACCTGCTAGATATAGTCGGGCTCACCTCAATGCATGGCTTGGGGTCCTGGTGAGGGCCTAGACTGTCTCAGTCTAGAGTTGCCCTTGCTGAGAGGCAGCAGACTGGGGTGGGTATTCTAGTATCCCCTCGGCTTGTTGCCTGTACGTTGGGGTTTCTGGACGAGAGGGCTTGCACCCTGCACCTTCAGGTCAGAGGACAGGTCCTGACTGTCGTCTCCGCTTATGCGCAGTTTACTTCAAAGTACCCAGCCTTCTTGGAGTCCCTGGGTGCTTGAGAGTGCTCCACATGGGGACTGTTGTCCTACTGGGAGACTTCAACGCTCATGTAAGAAATGACAGTGAGACCTGGAGGGGGAGTGACTGGAAGGAATGGGCTCCCGGATCTGAACCTGAGCAGTGTTTTGTTACTGGACGCCTGTGCAAACCACAGTTGTAACAAACATTTTTGTAAACGATTTTGTAATCGTATCACCAGACTTGTGGAAATATTTTGGGTGAAGAGAGGGGCTGAGCTGATCACCACCTGGTGGTGAGTTGGTGGGGGGGAGGATGCTGGACAGACCTGATGCACCAAAATGTATAATGAGGGTGAGCTGGGAACGCTTGGCAGAGGTCCAGTCTGCAAGCTCTTCAACTCACACCTCAGGCAGAGCTTCAACAGCGTTCCAAGGGAGATTGGGGACATCGAGTCTGAATGGACCATGTTCAGCACCTCCACTGCTGAAGCCGCTGCACTGAGCTGCAGCTGTAAGGTGGTTGCTGCCTGTCGTGGTAGTAACCGCCGAACCAAATGTTGGGACACCAGAAGTGAAGGGAGCCACCAGGCTAAAGGAGGAGTCCTATTGGGCTTGGTTAGCTTTCGGGACGTCAGAGGCAGCTGATAGGTACTGACAGGCCAAGCAGAACGCGACTCAGGCAGTGACTAAAGCAAAAACCCAGTGTGAGAGGAGTTTGGAGAGGCCATGGAAAAGGAAGAAATTCTGGCAAACTATCATGCGACGGATACTTAAGAAGAGGGACCGGAGGGTGTGCTCCAACTATAGGGGATCACACCCTCAGCCTCCTTGGGAAAGTCTATGCCATGGTGCTGGCGAGTCCGTCCTTTAGTTGAACCTCGGATACAGGAGGAACAATGCGGCTTTCGTCCTGGTCGTGGAACACTGGACCAGCTCTTTACCCTCTCAACGATACTTGAGGGTGCATGGGAGTTTGCCCAACCAGTCTACATATATTTTGTGGACTTGGAGAAGGCATTCAACCATGTCCTTCAGAGTGTTCTGTGGGAGGTGCTTCAGGAGTATGGGATGTCTGACCCATTGCAACAGGCCCTTTTTTATGGAGAGAATTTCTAGAAGTAGCCAAGTGGAGGGAGGCTTTCACTTGGGTGGTCTCAGAATCTCATCTCTGCTTTTTGCAGATGATGCGGTTCTGTTAGCCTTAATGTATGATGGCCTCCAGCTCGCACTGGAACAGCTTGCAGTACAGTGTGAAGCAGTGGAAATGAGAATCAGCACCTCCAAATCTGGGGCCATGGCCCTCAGCCGGAAAAGGGTGAATTGCCCACTTCGGGTCAGGGACAACTTCCTACCCCAAGTGAATTAAACTAAAATCTCGGGGTCTTGTTCACAAGTGATGAAGGAGTGAGAGATTAACAGATGGATTGGTGCTGCGGCTGCAGTGATGCGGACGCTGTACTGGTCTGTTATGGTGAAGATAGAGCTGAATGTAAAAACGAAGCTCTCAATTTACTGGTTGATCCACGTCCCTACCCTCATCTACAGTCACAAGCTGTGGGTAGTGCGGATACTAGCAGCACAAATGGGCTTCCTCCAAAGGTTGGCTGGCCTTTCCCTTAGAGATAGGGTGAGGAGTTCAGCCATCTGGGAAGGACTAAGAGTAGACCCACTGCTCCTCCACAATGAAAGGAGCCAGTTGAGATGGTTTGGGCATCTGACAAGAATGCCTCTTGGGCGCATCCTGGGCGAGGTGTTCCAGGTATGCCCCACTGGGAGGAGGCCCCGGGGCAGACCCAGGACACGCTGGAGAGATTATATCTCTCGGTTGGCCTGGGAATGCCTTGGTGTTCCCTTGGACAAGCTGGAGGAGGTGGTAGGGGAGAGGGAGGTCTGGGCTTCTCTGCCTTGTCTGGCCCCCCATGACCCGGCCCCTGATCAGTGGAAGAAGATGGATGGATGGATGGATGGATGGATGGATGGACGGACGGACAGATGGCAAATATCACAAAATTTAAGAGAAAATGTTTTTTATATTATGAACTGTTGGTTGCTTTCTCACCACATCCTGGTCTCCGTCAGTCAGATATTCAGATGAGACAGCATTCTCTGTACTAGCTAGTCTGTAGTTGACTGAGTACTTGTCGATGCTGGAGTCATACACTGCCCGTGGCCTTTCCCATGTCACCAGCAGGCTGCTAAGGTTGTGTGGTGCCACCTGGATGTTCTCCGGTTCTGAACTGCAGACTGAAACACACAGATAAAAACCTCTCTTTTTAAAAATATGCTGTGATGCACTCTTTTAAACCCACGAGTTCTGCAGATGGTTTACAGCTTACATTTCCTCAGTCATTTCAGATCCTGATAAAAAAAATAAATAAATAAATGTACTCATTACAGTGTGGCTGGCTTGGTATTATTGATTGTCACATTCTACAGTGTATATTCCATTTTTGCCTGCACTTTTGGACACAAATTCAAATACAGGAATCAAAACTCTAACCAAAACTAAGATCTACCTTGACTTTATTTTCTATTATAGTAACTTTTATTATTTCAGTAGCTTTTATGTAAATTTGATGAACAGGGCAACACTGGATACATTATCATGTATGATTGACTACATTAAAAAAAAGAAAGAGTCAATTAAAAGGAAAATATTACATTTTATGATTTTGCTTTTAAAATTGTCCTGATCCTCAATGCAGGTTATCACATCATATTATGTTTTATAGCTTGCTCTTTTGAAGCAACTCAGTGGTGAAATGTGTTCAATGCTTGTTTGCTGATTAGGAAAATTACACAAAAAACTACAAAGCTGAATTTCATAAAACTGAAATTGTGCTCTTCAATATAAAATTGAAGAGCATAATCAAGAATTAATTCAATTTAGATGTGAAGCCATAGTTATACCTTTAAAATTGACTTTGGTGGGCCATAAACTGTCCTAGCGCCCATCATGATGTGCCTTTATTTGTTTATTGATTTATTTGTTACTGCCTTGAGGTGACTGCTGTTGCGATGTGGCGCTGTATATATAAAATTTAATTAAATTGAACTGAATTATTAACTACCGGTAAGTAAGCAATGGATGAGTAATGTGAATTGTGGCTGTTGAAATGGCTCCTGTCTGTGTTTGTAAGTATGATTCTGGGTCAGAGGTGAGATTAGTAGTGCAGAGACAATGCAGATGACTGACACTATGAAGTCTGGGATTAACACAGATTAAAGCAGGCTGAGGATTGGTGGTGACAGACAGAAAACTCTATCCAATCATTCGCAAATTTCCTTTTCCACTGGATCTCAGCTAGGCTCAGTGCTCTAACCAGTCTGAACTCTGTTCACTGAGGGATCAAAGTGAAAATCCTGATATCATTAGCTATGAACAGCAGAAGAGGGAACAGATAAATACAAGCTGATAAATACAAATATTTTGCTTGGACCACTAGAGGGCAGTGCCAACCACGAGAACTTTGGTAAAGAATGCACAAACCTCTCTCTCTCTCTCTCTCCCTCCCTCCCTCCAATTTTAGTCTGTTTTCCCTGAAACCAACTGTCAGGGAAAACAGACCATGTGTTTCCATGTGGCAAACCTCAGTGTGGTCATGGTTTGACTGATTGACTGACTGGTTGGGTTGTGTATGTGTGTTTATGTGTTTTTGTAGTTAAAGGGCAGGACTGAAGGCAGATCAAACATACTGCTGAGTGCAGAAAGAGAAATGATAAGACATAAAGAGTAATAAATAAAACAGCGGACGCACCAATGAATCACTCCAAAGTGACCTGAAAATCAACAACAATAACAAAAAAAAGACCAGAAAAAAAACTATGCTATGTTGACTAAACCAACATTAATTGTTCTATGCTGACATGTCTATAAACAGTGTTGGGGAGTAACGGAATACATGTACCGCTGTTACGTATTTAAAATACAAAATATGAGTAACTGTATTCTGTTACAGTTACCGTTTAAAAAGGTGGTATTCAGAATACAGTTATTTTGTTGAAATAAATGGATTACACGCCGGTCTTTTCCTGTTTCATATGTTAGGCTATGCCCTCTCCATTTTTGATAATTCCACACCGGTGGAAACCCAAACAAAACACGCATTAGTGTTACAGGCATAGCCCTAAAGAATGTAGCCTCATGGGCAGTGTAGTCCGTGCTGCAGGGAGAATGGACTGCCATACTTGTTATGTGTCTGTGAGCGAGGGAGGGAGAAAAAGGAAAAGTACGAGTTGTCACCGACCAGAAACGGGAGCTGGAAGCATGTAAATATAATAATCACCACTGCAGCCAAGAAGAGTGCCTGACGAGCCCAGCTGTAAGTAAGCTGTTAAGACTCGACTGTACACTGTGTTCGTGTTTTCCTCCGAAACAATAAGTTCCATTGGAGCCTTTCAACGCCTCTCTCTGTCTCTCACTAGCAAAGTTGACCCAGACAACAAAGTAAAGCTAGTTTTCGGTTATGAGCCCGACATGAACCCGACGTATTAGCCAGAGGTCCCTTTACATATATTAAAAAAAAAATTCTTGGACTTTTGGATCTCATAAGACATTTAAATTAAAACCAGCAACTAATTTTTTTGGTACTTTGAAACCCTTTCCTATTCCTATATCAGGGAAACCGATTCAATCAAACCATACTCACTGAACAAACTACAGTGATCAGCATGTTATAGTTTGGCATGACTGCTGCTGCTTCCAGTAATTTTCAGTTTTCTTCTAAGGCTTGTGTAAATTCTAGTACCCAGCATCGATGAGTTTGTAACATCTAATGGAGTATACTTTCTAAGTAGATAAGCAAAACTGTACTTGTATAGCACCTTTCTATCATTACATCATACGTTTTGTTTTGGCTACCAAGTGTCAGGAAATATGTTCCTGCTGTTCTAGTGGTGAAGATAATGGCAGTAAATTTGTGGGGCCTAGTTTGTTTTGCTGTTTAAAGATTAGCAGAAGCTTTTTAGGAGTGCTCTGCCATTGCTTTGCCTAGGCATTGTACCTTTGTTGTTTCACTCTAGAGCAGCGGTCCCCAACCTTTTTTGCGCCACGGACCGGTGTAATGTCACACAAGATTTTCACGGACCGGCCTTTAAGGTGCAGCGAACAAATACAACAAAATAAAATGATACGTCCAAGACAAAAACTGTGGTATTTTATAAATGTAATAATAAATGCCAATTAACTGTGTAATTGTGTAACTTTATTAGCAGCGTCCTCCTGAAATGCGCCAACATTAAGAGTAACATCCTCCTGTCTGCTCTCTGGCCACCATGGTAACGTGTAAATATTTCTTTCAAAATAAGATAATAATAAGAAGACACAACTACAAAGACCCAGGGAAACAGAGTTAATGATAAAAACCCTGAAAACCATCAATTTCCCACCTGAGCCTCAACTCTCGTGGTCCGGTACCAAACGACTCACAGACCGGTCCGTGGCCTGGTGGTTGGGGACCGCTGCTCTAGAGTTTAACGTGTTCTTTTCTTTCAGTGAAGAATGGGGTTTTTGTTTGGAAACCCACTTTATATGTTACCTCCTTTGACAGTATCACAGTATCAGCTTAAAGCACTTGTTGCTGCTGAGTTTGCATCTTTTGCTGTGAAGTACAGCCAGACTTTTGACCGCTTTACCTTGGTCATTTTTAATCTGTAGCTCTGCTCTAAAAGAACGTACGTACCTGGCCCCGCCTACTAAACGTAAAATGATTGGCTAGAAGTGTATCACAGCTCAGGAAAAAAAAGCACCGAAATAAAGCACCGAAATGTGCGCTGCTTTTCGGTCTGGTTACTACCGTTTATGTCAGAATAATGGCACCGGACACCGGTACCCATCCCTAGCTATGACGTAATGGAAAACTCACAGAGAAACTCACGGATTCTTCCATTGACCGCGGCACACCTGCACCAGGGTA